CAAGGAATATCGTTGACCTAGACTCTCTGTCTTATTGAACTCTCAATGAATGTGACCTCCAAAACCGCATTATATAGCAGTAAAAGATAAAGAATCAATGGGTAGAGGAATTCTTTGACAGATCCCACTCCCAGGGCATAGTTAGCATTTGACTTAGTCTTGACCATTAGGGAATGATCATCAATTTCAAGGATAATAGACAAAGTGACTTCAAAAGCATTGGCTAAGAGATAAATAAATAATCATATAACTAACAATTACAAAGTCTAGAGTGCAGCTAAAGTAATAAGACGCACCATTGTCTGTCTCGTCATCATATGTCCATGGGTTGTCTACTACTATCCACCCTCTGAAAGCTTTACTATCAATAGTACGGTCAACAGAAGCCTCCGGCTTTCCCTCTTGACAAATAAGATCATCCGATGAAAGGCCATTCCTGAAGGGCTTCTTAAATGGTTCAGGAAACTCTTTTTCTGGGCATTCACAGACACTGCAGTCCCTCAAACGACACATACCATCCTCAGGCCAGAAAAGGCAATCACACCATAGCTTAACCTACCACAGGGACAAACCAACCAGGTGCCAGAAAGAACAGACAAAGGTCAGCATAGCTGAAAGCAAATTTACTAGTAAAATAAGGCTTGTTTGTTAGATTCGGGTTCACTATTTAACAAAATATCGAATAAGGACAACAGGAAAGAAGAGAAAGTGTGGAGGAAGGGGGGGGGGATTGAATAAGAAACTACCGGATCATTAGACTTAGGAAAATTACCACAAAATTCTGGCTCAAATGAAATATGCATCTCCTGTATAACTCACCAATTTTATAGTTTACCCACAACCATCTCCATGCTTGGAGTTTGAAGGACTTACCAGAAAAATATACAAAAAAATAGTTCACCTAAAATAGTCAATAATTTATTAACATTAGTCAACTGAACTTGTCTCATGTCATAAATCTCCAACAGTCTCCTAGTGGAAATGGATCGTTAATGATAGTATATGTGGCAGATAGAACAAATCTATAAGACGCTTTTGAGTTTGAATTTCAAGAAATTCTCTCAATCCAGGGGTCTTACATCTGCATGTCCATTCTAGAAGTATAGAAGATTTAATTCCAAATTGCACATTAAAATAAAAAAAATTGCCATTTTTATCAACTTGGAGGTACTCCAAGAGAAAAAAAAAATGGAAGAAGATAATAGCCACAGGATTAGGACTATAGTTCATAAAGAGCGTTGAGTGGTTGTAAATACGTAACTAGTAAAAGTTTAACTTCTTACAAGGTGTCCCCAAGGCTAGTTTCACTTTATCATATTGGGTGGTTACTAGATTAATTAAAAGGTCGGAAAGATAAAGGGAAGTTACTAAAAACATGTAAATGAGGACAGTAACATGAACTACGAAAATAAAAGAAAAATGAAGAATGAAAAAAAAAAGAAGCAATTATGAGCAGATAAGCATCAAACGAGGGAAAGTAAATGAGATGTAGCCTGATATGGCTGGGTCATATGCATTAAAGACTCATAATGACGGGTTTAATAGCAAAGGACAAAACCTATGAAAAATGGGAGCTGAAGCCTTGCTAAAAGACTTAATGGCTTGTGATTCCTCAGGCGACCAAGTCCTAGATAAGACTGGACAGTAATTATGTCTAGACCACCAATATTTGTTTGCTGGAGTCAAGTTTTGCTGCCTCTACTCTCTTCCAAAACCCCTCATGCTTTCTATTTACAGAATNGTCTAGACCACCAATATTTGTTTGCTGGAGTCAAGTTTTGCTGCCTCTACTCTCTTCCAAAACCCCTCATGCTTTCTATTTACAGAATCACTATTTTCCACTGATTGTTACTCAATATAAAATACATCTAACAAGCTAAATTTAGTTCTAAAATCTTGGTAGCATATAATCCAGTTGAGCTCTCTGCATTTCCTTGTGTGTAAAATGGATTTGCAAGCATGCATAAGAATAGAAAAATGTCTATCCATTTTCAGTTATCAACTATAGTTAACCCTTGAAGTTTATCGCCCAAAATTTAGATTTTGTTACTTGACGTTGATGCTGCATTTGGTACATTATATTTTGGTCTTACATTCCAAAGTGGACCAAAATTAGTAAAATTCTTGAATTAGTTTTCTTCCAATCCCATGTTACCTATTGCAGCTTAAGAACTCTCAAGCTCTAGATCGCTATCTATGCCTACTTAAACCATTTAATTACATGNTACCTATTGCAGCTTAAGAACTCTCAAGCTCTAGATCGCTATCTATGCCTACTTAAACCATTTAATTACATGGAACACTGTCTGCTGCAACTTATCTCAAGTGTATCTTAGCTACTTTTTTTTTTTTGATAAATGTATCTTAGCTACTTATTAGTACAAATGCACACAAAAAACACAATTTTCTCGCAAATAACATTATAAAGCAAATGGGCAGTGGCAGCATACCTTGAAGTATCGGAAAAATGGGGTTTTCACAANCTACTTTTTTTTTTTTGATAAATGTATCTTAGCTACTTATTAGTACAAATGCACACAAAAAACACATTTTTCTCGCAAATAACATTATAAAGCAAATGGGCAGTGGCAGCATACCTTGAAGTATCGGAAAAATGGGGTTTTCACGAGCTCTTCGAGCAATGGACGCAAAACTTCCTGATTAAGATGGTCTACAGTCTCGTAATCACAACAACAATCCTCCACTGTCCCTTTATATCTATGTGCGTCCTGCACATATTGCTCAAATTATATCCCATTCAATAAATTAATATCGCAGCAAACATAATTTGATTTAAATTTCAAAGTGATCACTCAGTCTTCACANCTCCACTGTCCCTTTATATCTATGTGCGTCCTGCACATATTGCTCAAATTATATCCCATTAAATAAATTAATATCGCAGCAAACATAATTTGATTTAAATTTCAAAGTGATCACTCAGTCTTCACATTCTGTTCAATTTTTATATAAATATCAAGAATAAGTAAGAAATAGAATTCAAATCTAGCCAATAATAGAGACACGAAATCAAACAAAATTAAACTCTATAACTATACGCAACTGTGTCTCATTCGAATAGAAAGCATTACGATATAAGGAATTGATTTTCTTTTCGTTTCCTCTGTTTTCTCGGAAACCAATCAGTAAAAAAAAAAAAAGAAGAAATACCATAGGATTATACCATTACCTCAGCACACTGACAAGGTCTGTTATGTCGATTGAGCATAGAAATAGTCGGAAAATTCCTCGAAGCAAGTGCAATTGCGAAGGATATCGCGATGAGAGCACCAATTGCCCAATTCCATCGGTTTCCACAGCGCTTGTTGTCAATATCCGGTTCCACCATCTGTAATCTAACGTTTTATATGTGTTTGGTTGCTGAGAAATTGCAGAGAAACGGAACGAAAAAGTTTTGGGAAGTCTTTTAACAGTGTGAGATTCTAGGTTTAGGAGTGAATTGACGAATTTCAATTAATTTTGTTGCTGCTTTGTAAGGATTTTATAGAGAAAAAAACGAAGAAAATGGTGGGAAATGAGAGAGAGATACGATGGGAGTTTGGCTGGTGGTTTTATGTTTCTTCGTTCAAAAACAACGGACGAGACTCTAGAGTCTAGAGCGTGGAAGACCCGGAAAAATAAGAAAAATATTCAGTTATTCAGTGCTTAGAGCGTACCATGCTGGCATGCATATTGGGTACTCAACACCAACCAAAAACAGCCACCTCAAAAGAGTGTCAGATAAAATAAAAAAATTACACGTTAGTCATATGAGCGAACTCGGTTAACAGGGGTAACTGCATATTTTATTATATATATATATATATATTTTATCATTATATTTTTATATGAAATTAATGTATGCATAATATATAGACAAATAAGATACATTTCAACACAAATAATTAATTTTCTATTCAATTTTCTTCCGATTTTAGAGGGATTGATTTTGGTGAGTTGAAAGGAAAGTTAAAAAGAGTGTCAAATAATTTGACCTCAAAAGAGTGTCAAATAATTATTTTTTATATTTAAAAAATTTAGTTGATTAATTTTATTATGACCTTAATTTTAATTATTGTTTTTATCTTTCAGCAATTATTTATATAATAAAGTACAATATAATTTAAATTTTAAAAAATAAACAAAATAATTTTTATTATTCGTGGTTGAGATTTCTTTCAATTTTATTTTAAAGTTAATACAATGATTAATATTAACATTTCAAATCTAGTAGGAAAAATAGTCCCCTAAAGTTTGTTTAGAATGACTTTTTGAAAGTATTTTTAATATTTATAATTTTTCATAAATACTTTAAAAATAAAATAGTATTTGTAATCATCCCACCACCACCACCATCACCTCTATCGCCCCACCACCATCACCATTACCACCACTACCAAACTACCCCCACCATTATCACCACTAACACTACCACTACCACCACCACTAATGTCGCCACCCCATCACCACCCACCCACTACCTCATCACCACTATCACCACTACAACTACCACCACCCCCCGTTCCTTACCACCACTATCGTTGTCGTCACCATACCACCCCTACCATCTCCACCGTTGCCACCACCACCACCGCCCGACCACCATCATCCCTGTTACACCCACCACCACCACCGTCACCTCCACCCCATAACTAGCGTCACTTTCCTACCACCGTCGCAGCCACCCCATAACCACTTCTGTCATAACAATCACCTCTACCACCAGACCACCACCATCTCTACCAGCTGACCATCACCACCCCCACTACCATCATCACCATTACCACCACCACCGTCACTTCCACCCCACCACCACCTTACCACCATTGTCGCTGTCCAACCATCATCCCTACCCACCACTACCCCCTATCGTCTCACCATTATCCCTCACGAGCATCATCACAACCATCACCACCACCACCGTCGTTGCCACCATTGCCACCCCACCACCGCCATTACTACCCACCACCACTACCATTATTCACTCCCATT